CACTAACCTTGTATGCATTGCGAATTTGGCAGCGTTTAGTGAAGTTCGCTTCACTGTATTTCGCTGTACAATGATAATGATCGATCATTGCATCGCTTCCGACTGGAGTGCACCTTGATAGATGACGGACAAACAAACACGAACGACGTTGCGGTAAGCAAGACCCCAGTAGCAATAACATCGCTCTCGAAACAGTGTGTGGTTTATGGTGACAGATACGGAAATATTACTGTACCTGGTTGCACCATCACAGACCAACACGCTGGACAGACTTCACATCGAGTGAGGTTGTACGGTGGTGTGAAAGTTGGTTACAATCTGGGCAAGGACCCAACGGGAAAAAGCAACAGCAAGGCGAGAGAGAGAAAGGTTCAAATAACGAGGTCACACGGCTTTTTTATTACACACTACTATGTCATGAACAGCAGACGGGACGGACCCCATAGTCATATTGAACGCAGATTTCCAACAAGACCGGGAAGGAACTTGAGGGTAATTTCTGTACGTGTGGTTTTGTGGCTAGAGGGGGTTTGTGGAGCACAAACAACACGATTTTGGAGTTAAGATTTTTTCTGAAATGGTGAGCAACGAAAAATCATGCAAAAAAAGTTTTTCTTTACTCCTACTAATCATTTCGCACACGTCTGCGTTCAGACTGTGTGCCAAACAAATCACGGACAAGAATCACAGAACGACACCAACGCCAGCTGCTTGGGCATCTTCTGGCTTCCTTTACTATCCACGTTGGCCCCTAGGTTACTCAAACAAATAAACACGGGGTGAGGCAGTCTACCGGTCAAAACATTCCGCTCCACACACGTAGGAGCGGGGTACCTGGAGCTTCCTCTCGACGCTGGAAGGTCTTTGCACTTCATTAGACAGCTACTGACCATCCAACCTGGGCAGTCCCCGTTCACATTCCGCTAGTCTCATTGGGTGAGTAAGCCTAAGGGCCAATCCCAAAGCGAACCGACAATCAACGCACCAGCGAAAAGTACACTGAACCGAAACCCGAAAGCCTTGCGTAACAGGTCTCTAGAAGTTACCATGCAGGTGCTTCGGTTACCCTGTAGCGTTGGATCGACGCCTCACTGCCTTGTGGGTCAGACTTTTCAGTCGAAGGTTCTGAGCAGAATTCCAAAAGAGAAGCCCTTATTTCGCGGATTAGGTAGCGTCCTTACGTCTTAGGTACCTATTTGAAAACCCTCTTTTTCATGTGAGCAGTTCTTCCTTCCACCCCAAATTGTACGAGATGCCTCCTGTTTGCACCACCCAGGAAAAAGCACACAGTGTTTACCAGTAAGATCCACCGCTCAGAAGCTAAAAGATTTTGAAACCAAAATCTCTTTTTCACTTAGCTACATTTTTACCGTATATNTATATATATATATATATATATATATATATATATATATATATATATATTGTGTGTGTGTGTGTGCAGTTTGGTTTATGCTTCATAAAACCATGCAGAATAAAGCAGTATACCCCAGACAAAAACAAAAATACGCTCGTATTTTCATGCACATTTATATCACACATGAGTCGGTTGCTATCTCAGCCCCACAATGACAGAAGTGTCAGTCGTGCGTTATCACACGAATTGGTATTTTGAACACTCTAATGACATCATCATTCCTTACGTCGTAACTGATCGAATATCTGCATGTATGCACATAGAAAAAAGCAACATATTTTTGCATACTTGTTTGTTCCGCTTATAAACAATGGTCAGGATCACACCGATGTTTCTTGTACGACCCACTTTATTAAGAACTGTCCGCTTTCGGTTTCAACGCACTCGATGGTGGGATAAAGCCATGCCAGACATGAGGTGGTTAAGGCTTGATGGGTTAGCTGAATNTGAATTAAGTGGAATAATTGGAAAATAAAGTTTTTCAACTACAATGGTCAATCATCGAAAATACAGCCTTTGTCACCTAATTCCGCTGAATGACTATGATAATGATAAGTTATTGATTATTAGTTGGTTTGAAGGAACGTTTGTGCACTTATTTCAGTGAAAACATTTGTGGATTCATCGCATCACACTGCATAGAAAATGCGACTGTTTTCTCAGGAGGGGAGTAGTTACAACCGTTTAACCGTTTCCGGTGCGATAATTTAGAGAGAACAGATCACAATGAAAAATACACAAAACTACTGGAGAAAGAACGACAACTGCCATATTTTACTTTGTCTATTGTTTTGTTTTCATTTTTTGGCAAGAATATTTGATTCTGCTAAAAATGGACGCAATATTCACCCAGGTTCTTGCTTTATTAGTATGTCAGACCACGAATAGATATAAGTATCCGATAGCGAAATATTCAAGCATTTTCCTCAATATATGTTTCATTGTGGACCGTGGCAACTATTGATGAATAAATGGAAGAAAAAAGTACTACTCGTTCCCTCAAGCTTATTTTTTCTGGGAATAAATGTCTTTTCTTTAGATCGGTAAGACCTGATGAGGAAAACAAACCTTAATAGAAGAAAGATTTTTTAGGCCGGATTATATTTAGAGGAGTCGAATATGCTCTCTACGCTTGTAACAGAATGAAACAAAACGTCATCACCTCGTTACGTGGCTGTATAAAATCCGAGTAAATAAAAAACCTGCATGTATAAATAAACAATAAGAAAGAAATTGGTATTAAACCAAGCACATGAATAAAGCAAAATCCTTCCATTATTTTCTTATAGATGTAACTTCAATGGCTTGAGACGGAACTCACCGAAAGCATGCTTACGGACGGTCTGTGTTTAAAAACTAGTAGTCCTTTATGTTCAAAATAAGCAATATATATATATATGAAAGGTGGGAAGTATGAGCGATAAAACGAATATTTGTTTACATGAAAAAATAATGAAATAAAAATCCGAAAAAAAACCGAAAGATGAATGTGACATTACCCACCTGGACCAACCGCATTTTCGTCACTTTTTTGAGGAGGCACTAACGGATATAACTGAGCGGAACTGTGATTAACGTTGGATGGTAGTACTGGTGGCTTCACTTGCATAGGTGCATGACCAACTGCTTTATTAATATTAGATGGGTTTTCGGCATCCGGAAGAGCATGTGCATCACCAGCTGGTTTCAAAGGCTGCCCATTATCTGCATTACCTTGTTGCTCTGCAACCTTTGGTTGGTCTACAGCATTCGGTAGTTCGTTTGGCCTTGGCAATCCATCACCATTCGGAGGCAACAGAGGACCTTGATTCTCCGGAACCTCCGGAACAACTGGAAATTCAGGTATTTTGACGGATTTGGGGTCACCTAGTTGCACTTCTTGATGGGCATCTTCATGTAATGACTCCGGCGACTGATTGGCAGTCGAGGATAAGGATTGAATTTGAGTAAAAAACGTCCAAATCAAAAAGGACGAGGCGAAAGCCACAAATATTATCAAAGCCTTTCTTCGTTTTCTCAAAAAGTGACGCGACATATCTATTGTGGAAAAGCCAACAATAACACAAGGATTAAGAGTTACGTAGTTTGTGCACGGGAATAAATTAAATTAGACTTTTAATGGTGTTCCCATAAACTGAGCGTATGGACATTGTGTTGATGCACACACAGTGGCGTTTGCACATATACTCACTTCTTCATAACTTTAAATCACTTGAATCACTATTTTTTCCCTCCCAGCTCCCAGCTTTGTAGTTCATCCCCAAACCCCCTCATTTAAAAAGACACTAACCAAAAACCGCCCCTCAACAGTGCGAAATTGATGATTTCAAAACCGGAAACTAAGAGGCTCCTATAAGGGATCGAACGTTCGTAATCTGGATATAATCCGTTATCTGACGTTTTCTTTAAACATAGCTGTAAGAAAACGATTAAAAATGGTTATTTTCACTCTATATGTTGTTCCTTTATAGTAACAACAAAGAAACACTAACAGTTGCAGTAGAGATTGCAATTGCAATCCACTGGTTCTATGTCTTTACAAAATGTTGCAGAATATAATTTGTCTAAGATCAATTTAGTCTCGCTCCACACCACAATTCGCCTTGCATTTTCACAAAACGCAAGTCAAGCACAGCTGAGATAAGGTTCAAACTACTGGAAGGCTTTGACTCTTCATTTAACAAAACAATATACACGATGTGCTTCACAGAAAAAATCTGGCCAATTGAGGCAACATTAACGTCACCATTTTTGAAAAAGAACAGGGCCATTTTAAAAGTCAAATTCAATGAAAATCTGGGATTAAATGGAATATAAAGCATCCCTGAAGCATACCGCTTTTGCAGTTATCTTAGGTCAAAGAGAACTGCAAACTCGGAGGAGGCTTCCGCCATTCTTGTACATTCAAGAAGAGGTGCATCAACCACACCCTTATCGTCTGAGTTCTGGCTGTTGTGACCAACTTGGCTGACCACAAAGGTGTATTAGGTATTTTGGATGTTTGAACCCGTTCAAAGAGCATAGTATATGTTTAACTGATCACCGGTCTTCAATGGACTGCGGGTTTCACACCCACCCGGTTGGCTCGCGGGTTAGGCGGCTTTGCTTGGTACCCCCGTGTGCTGCTAACAGTCTGGTTTCACACTGATGTAACATATGATAATAATATTAATTTTATTATTTGTTGCCCTAGAATAAAGCTCTCTGTATGAGTACGACTTTTTTGCAGTTATAAAGCTGCAGACAAATGAAAAAAATTAAAATGCAAAGCGCCCAACTTCAGAACTAAATTTGAAAAATGAGAGTAGAGAACTACTAGCAATGAAATAAGTATATGATTTTTTGTTAGCGCCTTATAGTCAGGTGGGCGAGCCAAAGCGGGCGATTTTCCACTGGGCTCACAATCATTATTTTCGGTTAACCGAAATCTCTCACAGGGCATACCCTTGGGTTGAGCAGAGCTGAATGCTACTAGGCTCGTCCCCGGTTTGTGGATTGGGGGATACGTTCACCGAAGAAGGTTAGCTGTGAATAAGTTGTGGCACACCGTAACA